CTACAGGGTCACACACCATTAGGGATGGATTTATATGTGAAGTATCGGAAAGGTAGACTTGGATTTGGTCGAAAAAACAGTTTTCGGATCAAATCAGAGTGTCGGGACGGTTACAGCCTTCTGACTCGGACCGAGTCAGTATTTGACTCGGACCGAGTCAGTTCCACGCGAGTCGAAGCCCCGAACTGTTGAGCTTTTTGGTCGTCAGATTCAGTTTTCCGATCACCTTGACGAGATCGGCGTGACAGCTCTTAAACAGCTTGGTGAATTCTCCGGCGAAAGGGTCGTCGCTGGTGAAATCTTTGAAACTCCTAAGATTCTGGAGAGTTTTGCTGAAATTCCCTTCTTCTCTCTTTTCCTCCACGAAACCAGAGAGAATGTGGAGAATTAGGGTTTCTCCAAGATCAGCTTTCCCCAGAGATTTCTTCAGAGATTCACAGAGAACATATAATTCAGCATTTGTGTTGAAGAAATCGTTGGCCAGGTCAAGCAGATCTGGGTTCTTCCGAAGATCCCTGTCGGAAGACAGGAAGAGCTGTCGGACATCTTCGTTCATGGTGTCGATGCAACCGGTTAGTGTGCTGAGAGAATCGTACGACGCTGATCGGATCTTGAGGCCGTTGGAGCTGACGGGCTCTGGGTTTTGTGGTTGGATGGGAACCCTAGAAGAAAGAGAAGGAGACGAAGAGCTCCGTCTCTTCCGCGCCGTCAAGACAGGAATTCTGCGTCGGATACCGAAAATCTTCGACAGCTTTGTCATTCTTCTCCGAAATCAAACACGAAAACAGAAGATCAAGAACAGTACAAGAGCAGAGAATTCAGGAAGGAAGAAGAGCGAGCGAGAGAGAGATCGCAATGTGCGTGGAAGAAGAGAGAGCGAGAGAGAGATCGCAATGCGTATGTAAGAAGAGCGAGAGAGAGCAATGTGTGTGGATTAGCCGTTGCGATCTTGATATTATAGCCTTCGAAATTCCCATTTCTCTCTGTTAATTCAAATTTCAATTTCAAATTGCTAAACGTTCATCTAGATTTTCAATTTTGTGAATCATACGATGCATTTTGTTATTTCAAATTTTCATTTTGTTAATTATTATCTAATAAAACATTAAAAAAATAGAGATAAAAACGGCCCATTTCGGCCCAAACCCCAAAGGCCCCAAGAAGAAGCTCGCGGCGGAGAAGGCGGTCGAATCCATTAAACCCGGCTCCACCGCCGCCTTCTCCGTCGACCGGGCAGGCGAGCTCCCACATCGTCGGCATCCCGAGGTCGAGACGCACGCAGGAGCAGGGAATCCCGCTCCTCTCGTTAGACACGCATCCCCGGATCGATCTCGCCATCGATGGAGCCGACCCGAACCTGGATCTGGCCAGAGGCCGAGGTGGTGCATTTCTCCGGGAGAAGACGATGGAGGCTGAGGCGGTTCATGTGATTTGAATCAAATAAAAGCTGCATGAGATGGAGAGATAAGATTTTTTTAATAAAAAAAAAGAAAGAAAGTGGATTTCGAATTAAGCTTTGAAAGGGGGAGAAAGTTTCTTTCATTAGAGAATGTGTTGCAAAGCGAAGGAATAAAAGAAGAAAAAGGTGTTCAAGAGGTTTTCTTACCAAGAATGAATTATTTTCTTACATCATATTTCTCTTATAAATGGATCAATGATACAGTATAAAAAAGAAAAAAAATAATTATTTGAGAAGACAAAATAATTTATATACGAACTCATGGACGTACTTATATATACATCAAACATACATGACACATTTATCTTATCTTTGAACAAATATATATAAATATTTATACTTTTATAAAAATCGTGACTTTGAGTCTCTTGAATCTTGCGAGTCTTGTTTAATGGGCAAGATAACAAAGCATCCTTTCAAGGGGAAAGGACAGAGAGCGACAGAGTTATTGGATCTGATACATAGTGATGTATGCGGACCAATGAGCTGTCCGGCTAGAGGAGGTTATCTGTATTTCGTTACGTTCACTGATGATTTCAGTCGTCTGGCCAGATCCAGGTTCGGGTCGGCTCCATCGATGGCGAGATCGATCCGGGGATGCGTGTCTAACGAGAGGAGCGGGATTCCCTGCTCCTGCGTGCGTCTCGAGCTCGGGATGCCGACGATGTGGGAGCTCGCCTGCCCGGTCGACGGAGAAGGCGGCGGTGGAGCCGGGGTTAATGGATTCGACCGCCTTCTCCGCCGCGAGCTTCTTCTTGGGGCCTTTGGGGTTTGGGCCGAAATGGGCCGTTTTTATCTCTATTTTTTTAATGTTTTATTAGATAATAATTAACAAAATGAAAATTTGAAATAACAAAATGCATCGTATGATTCACAAAATTGAAAATCTAGATGAACGTTTAGCAATTTGAAATTGAAATTTGAATTAACAGAGAGAAATGGGAATTTCGAAGGCTATAATATCAAGATCGCAACGGCTAATCCACACACATTGCTCTCTCTCGCTCTTCTTACATACGCATTGCGATCTCTCTCTCGCTCTCTCTTCTTCCACGCACATTGCGATCTCTCTCTCGCTCGCTCTTCTTCCTTCCTGAATTCTCTGCTCTTGTACTGTTCTTGATCTTCTGTTTTCGTGTTTGATTTCGGAGAAGAATGACAAAGCTGTCGAAGATTTTCGGTATCCGACGCAGAATTCCTGTCTTGACGGCGCGGAAGAGACGGAGCTCTTCGTCTCCTTCTCTTTCTTCTAGGGTTCCCATCCAACCACAAAACCCAGAGCCCGTCAGCTCCAACGGCCTCAAGATCCGATCAGCGTCGTACGATTCTCTCAGCACACTAACCGGTTGCATCGACACCATGAACGAAGATGTCCGACAGCTCTTCCTGTCTTCCGACAGGGATCTTCGGAAGAACCCAGATCTGCTTGACCTGGCCAACGATTTCTTCAACACAAATGCTGAATTATATGTTCTCTGTGAATCTCTGAAGAAATCTCTGGGGAAAGCTGATCTTGGAGAAACCCTAATTCTCCACATTCTCTCTGGTTTCGTGGAGGAAAAGAGAGAAGAAGGGAATTTCAGCAAAACTCTCCAGAATCTTAGGAGTTTCAAAGATTTCACCAGCGACGACCCTTTCGCCGGAGAATTCACCAAGCTGTTTAAGAGCTGTCACGCCGATCTCGTCAAGGTGATCGGAAAACTGAATCTGACGACCAAAAAGCTCAACAGGAAACTCCGGAGAATACGCCGGCGCCGGAGAGTTACGATAACGCTGTTCCTCGCGGCGGTTGCCACCGTGGTTATCTCCGCTGTCCTGGTCGGTGTAACGGTGGCTCCGCCGGTGCTGGCAGCGTTGGGGGCCGCCGTCTCCGTCG